GCCTACAGTGTTTAATGGAATGAACATTTGCTTAACAATATAGCAGTTCTTTAGCTGACGAAAAATCTTTCAGAATAAAACTTTCAGTAGACAAAAACTATAATAGATTTATTAAAAAAAAAAAACAAGACAAGATATGAAAGTGAAAATTACGTTGACCTTTATATAGTGCGTGCCATTCTAAAGACTGTAAGTCACAGCCTCATTTTTTCATCATTATGAATTCAATATGGTGTCAGACAGAAATATTTTTAGTCTGTGGCGCAAATTCAAGTTTCCATACTTTTGTGAGAGTCGTGCTTTTAGAATCTTGAGCGACTTCAAATGAATCACTTTGATTCGCTGAAATGAACCGTTTGAATGAACTGATTCGCTCAATTGTTTTTGACCTATAGAATTCATTTACAACGCTGTTTCATGCCAAAAGTCCATCTTCTTTTCGAGTATGCTCTGTGTGTGTTTCTCTCTGACAGGTGAAGCAGTGGACGCAAAGACTGATGTGATCAGCAGTGATTGATTTGAGTGCATAGGTCCACAGGTCCAGGCCTCTCTGCCCTGACACCTATAAACCCATCCAAACACAGGCTGGTCTGATTGATTCGTGTATGGACCAGACTTGAGACCAATGAATAATTAAAACCCTTAAACCGTGTGGTTTAGGGAATTGGCTGCCCGATGACCAGCTTTCTGACGTATAGACGGTCTAACAGCTGTCACGTCAAGAGCGCAGGTGATTCGACAGCCAAACACAAATCGTCAGAGGCTTAGTAAGTAGGCGGGGCTGATATTATTATTCAGCCAATCAGCATGCGTGAAATTTAATCTAGTATTGTTGCCCTGAACAGATTGTTTGTGACACTCACGATTTGGTGAGGGTTTTTTTTTTTTGTCTCTTTAGAAGGATAGTTAGCCTGTATTAAACTTTCTAAATTCCATGAACAGGCACTTTTGGCATGGAAACTTTGTTTTGTTCACAATTTCTCCCCGCATAAAGTGAAGCTATGGAATAACAAGAGTATTTTAGTAAAGAACAAGTCGATTTTTCTTAAGAATTGGCATGAAAAAGGTATTATCTTTGTGATATACTAGATCCTCAAGGGAATGTTTACTCTTACTGTGTTTTCATGTTTAAATACAATTTCCCTGTTGTTCATAAGGAATTTCTTACTGTACAATTGTTAAAGCTATACCTAATGGTCTTGTTCACTTGTTCACTTAATCTCATCTACCATTTGAAGTTATTATAAAAAGGGAGACAAATTTTTTGGTTGATGACAAGTGCATTTAGGACCCAAAATGTAATAATAAAATGATAAGAAATGTGTTTCAGTCAAGGAAAAGAATTACTCAGAGGGGAATTTTTTTTTGGAATTCTTTAATAGATAAGATTAATTGGAAAAAAACATGGCTCTTACCTTATAAATTCTGTGTAACCAACAAAGTGAAAAAGAATTACATTTAAAGATTTTGCATAATATATACCCCAGTAATGAGATTACATCCAAATTTGGTAATCCTTTCAGTATTTGAATCTATTGATCATCTTTTTTTTCAAATGCCCCCTTGTTAAGGAATTTTGGTCTGATGTGTCAAAATTCTTTGCTTCAAAATATTGATTTAACTATGTGTGGTATATTTTGTTATTTTTCTCATTGTAAACATAACATAGAATATATAGGAAATGTATTTATTTTATTGGGAAAATATTACATTCATAAATGTAACTTTTTGTCAACATTCCCAAAATTACATAATTTTCTTTACCTAATTATAACACAAAAAAATATTAATACTAAAAAAAGTGTCAAATTTGTGAAATTTTATAATGATCTGCTGAATGTTACATAAAATTGATTTACTACCTCTGTATTTCTTTGTTTTATCTATTTATTCTTATTTATTTTTTATTATTTTTTTCTTTGTCTTCCTATATTATTTCTGTATTCATAATGTCATCCAATGTTGCATTAATTGTTGAAGTTAAGTGTTTATACCTGCAATAAAAAAAAGGGAAAAAATGGTTTATCAAAGTATATTTGGGTAAAGAAATGGCTTTGAAGATGGATATTTTGCAGTTTCTCGATATCATTTGTTAAGTTAAATACTGTAGCTTTAAACCAAAAATATGGCATTTCCACAGTCCTCATCTTTAAAACCATAGTACCATGGTACAATGTCACATATTAAAGTTAATATGTATTACCATAGTTTTTTTTTGAACATGTAACATGGTAGTATTCTTGTAGGTATGTTGGAGTACATAGTGCATACATTTCCAGTACCATAGTATTAAAGTGCATAAGCCTATTACTATGATATTGCCACAGTACTGCTTTGCAAGACATCAAAAAAGAAGAAAAAGAAATACTGCGCAATACTATGGTGCACTACCGTGGTATATCGTACAGTACTCCCATGGAACAAGTCAAGCGGAAAAAACATACCATGGTAACTACTGGCCTTTTATTGTCAACATTTTTCCTGAGGCTCAGTGGTAGAGCATTGCATTAGCAGCGCAAAAGGTCAAAAAGGTCGTGGGTTCAATTCCCAGGGAACACACATACTGATAAAAAAAATTTATAGCCTGAATGCACTGCAAGTTGAAGTGTCTGCTAAATGCATAAATGTAAATTTAAACATTGTATGACAAGATCTAGTTTGACTTTAACCACCACAGACATTTAAAAAGAGACAACATTTTGATCTGTTGCTGGTTCCTTTGAGGTCCCACTTTATATTAGGTGTCTGTCTTTAGTGCACTTACATTCAAAATAATGAATCGTTTGGTACAAAGTATTTCTTCTGTTCATGTTGTATTGCAAATTGCTTTTTCCTGTCATTGAGGTGGGATATGGGTTTAGGGTGGGTTTTTATGGTTAGGTTTAAGGGTGGGTTATGAGATAGGAGTAGGATCAGCAGATTAATTATAGATGTAACTACTGGAGTTAAGATAATAAGAGCATCATATCAAATTATTCATTTAAATGTAAGTGCATCTTAATATAAAGTGGGTCCCAATTTGAGTTTTCCAATAACCATTTTTTAAAATCCTCCTCAATATTGAATATCAGTCTCGATTTTGTTGATTATTTAGGCTTCTTGTTTGCTCCACCCATGGGAAGATGCATAAATGATTCGCAGGGAATCTTTCAGAGGCACTATGAGCTGTTTTACTCCCTCAAGGTCAATAACTCAATATGTCTGTGTGTGTGTTCATCTGCACGTGCACATCTGTGAGATATTAGAGTGCACGGAATGACAAGTCAAAATTGTCGATCACTGTGAATCTGTGGACGCTCGTTTTATGCATCAATACGAGTGATTGCATTTACTGTATTTTGTGGAAAAACGAGTTACCTTCCTGATTTATTATTATATATCGGATGAGTTTATCACGTCCCATGGGATCCCACACACCAGCTGTTACAGCTCAGGGTCACCCCCACTCACTTTACACACACACACACACACACACACACAAATAGAGCATTGTAACTGTCCCACTAAAAGCACAAGGGTTTATGGGTAGTGTCAGCAAAGCACTACTGAACAGATAAAACAGCTGAAATAGGTTTCTAAGGGACCCTGAAAATACTGCCTCATTGAACAGAGGTGGTGGGCCCAGCGTTCACACAGCCAGCAATCAAGGCCTGTGTGATTGTACAGCGAGAGCGCTTCTAGCACCCGCATCAGCACACTCTTTCATGCGGCAAAGACAAGCTTCTCTCCCAGTGGTGGATGTGCACTCTTTACAGTGGAAGGTGCTAATTAGCATCTATTTTCATTCATCTTGCTGACTGCCATATTGTCAGACTGACTGAAATCTTACATTATTGTGCATTTCTGTGCAGTGGCTAATAAAGCGGCTTTGAGGTCTTTCTCAGTGAGATTCAGAGGTTAATAAACATTTCAGATTAGATGGACATTTGAAAGTCTGTGATACTGTTTTGGCAGGAGACCATATGAGTAGTCTGCCATCTGCTGTTCACAAATGGCCATGCATGAATCATATTGAGAGGTCTTGTATGAATTGTAGTTCTTTTAAACATAATTTTAGATCTGAAACAATAAAGTTCATGATGCATTGTTTTGATTTATTTTTAGCACGGCTACTGTAAATAGTATGTAATTCCAGTTCCTTGTGCAAGATGATGCCAAAGATTCATAAAAAGGAAACAAGTTACAACATAAATCATAATGCAGATGCAAGTACCATATTGGATGCATTTAATATTCAAATAGTGTATTGTTGATTTATTAAGAATATTGCTTAAGTTCATGCTCACAGAAAACATAAACATGTCATTGGTCACTGGTCAGCTGTGAACAGTGGAAACTCAAAAAGAGCCTATGTGATTAACAAGATGATTCACTGTAAAAACATAGATTTATTTTTAAAAGTTTTATTTTCTTTTAAATCTAAATTTTGGGGTTAAGACAATTGGACCCACTTTATATTAAGTGGCCTTAACAACTATGTATTTACATTTAAATTAATAATTTGGTACAATGTACTTATTGTGTACATGTTTTTACATTGCACTTATATTTAAAAAAAATACCTGCATGTAATTACATCTGTAATTACATTTATAATTACACAGTTGACCCATCCCTTACACCTTAACCCACCCTTAAACCTACCCATACCAACAAACCTGTCCCTAACCTTACCCGTATCCCACCTCAATAGCAGCAAAAGTGTTTTGCAATACAATATGAACACAATAAGTACATTGTACTTAATTTTTGATGTAAGTGCATAGTAGTTAAGGCCACTTAATATAAAGTGGGGCCAGACAATTTGTTAATAACAATAAAAAAAAAACCTTAATAAAGTAAAATAAAATACATGG